TTCTCTCCCAGCTGAGCTGACTTTCCTTCCTGTGAATAGACGAAGGCTGGTGTCGGTGTTTGTAACAGCCTGAGCCTGCTCTTACTCAAGCTGGTTTTCTCACCTACCCTGTCTCTCTCTCTCTTGCTCTTGCATTTTTATTGCCTGGGTAAAAGTGGTGGCTGACAGAACAGAACAAAACACAATGTACTGGCTTCTGCAGCCTACAAGCTCGCGTCTCCATATTTCTGCCTGACCCACATCTATTTTTATACACCTGCAAGTCTTCTTGATATTTCTCCGGTTCGGGCTTTCCAAACAGAGCTTAGCTGTAGTTTGATTATTTGGACCCTTTGCGCAAGGTTTGGGCAGAAAGTTTTCTGATGCTGTCACAAACCACAGATCTCAAGCGGTGTTCAGGTACAGTGTCAAGGTCTACTTCTGCTCCTCCTCCAAATAACAACTCCATGGGGCTTTAAATTTTGTGCCAGGAGACGTAGTTCTCACTGTGAAAATGGGGGAGGCGGGGGGGAACCCTGGTACGAAAATTTCCAAACACAGTGGAATGTTTTTCTCCTATTTTCCCCCCTTTACCCCTAAGACTCAAGGGTTTGTCAACACTCAGATCCCACAGCCAATGATGAATTTCTTGATTATACAAAAGCTTTCTTAATCACCCTTACAAAGTCATATTAATCTTTAATTTCTAAAGCCATTCATGTGTCCTTCCGTGTGTGTGTTTCCATTAGATGAACATGGCTGTGTCTACTTAGATATCAAAACAGCTGGTTGAAAGGTGAAAAATGAAGTTATATTTTAGGCACATCCATTTATTCCAAACATGGTGATATAAATACAGGTTGCAAACTATTAATAAAGGAGTTTGGAAATGCTTTGTTTAGAACATACACATTTTCATCCAGAGGCTGCACTTAAGTGAATTGAGTTCAGAGCTGCAGGCAGGCCTCTGGGCCTCCAGCTGGAAGATTAGGTTCCCACCATGTGTGAAAAGCACACTGAACCAAGCTGTGGGCAACCTGTCCACCTCTAGAAGATGATGGGTACAGCGGCGAGATGAGAGGCATGTGGTTGACAGGCCATTGTTAGCGCCACTTTACAGACAAAGTAACTGAGGCCCAGAGAGTTAAGTTGCCAAAGTCTCATACTAGGAGGCGTAGGGGAGCCAGGCTTCAACTCGGGCAGCCTGGATCCAGGGCGCACGCTCCTAACCACG